CCACGCCTCACGCACCCTCCCCCTGCAGATCTTCGAGATGATCCTGAGCATGGTGTTGTGCTGTGGCATCCGCAACAGCTCCGTGTACTGAGGCCCGCGGCGCCCCCTGTACATAGTGTCCCCCTATTATCACTCTGTGCACTTGCCCTTCCTGCTGCCCACGTCCCCTCTTCTGCCCCGTCACTTTTCCGGGCGGTAGGGGAGCAGGAGCTGGCTGCCCAGTGGGAATGAGGGCCGCAGGGGCAGGGCCCACCAGGGGCTGGGCGGCCTTCCCTCCCCTCCTCCACGTTTCTAGAGCCGGATCTGAACCGGCTGAAGTCCCGCTCCTTTCTAACGAGTTACCTTCCACTGTAATCACATTTTCAACCGTCAGTCAATAAAGAAGGAAAAACCAGGCATGCCAGCCCGTCTCCGACTCTCTGTCTGGGCTGGAGGAGCCACCCAGCCCTTCCCCCTTGCCCTGGGGTGGGACAGCAGGGACAGAGAAGGATGTGTGCCCCACCCTCCAAGACAGCCTCCTCCCTTCTCCTGACGCCATCCAAGCCTTGGGTTTCCACCAGTCCAGCTAGGCTCACTGTCCAGTAGGGCCGTGAGGGATTTGGTGTGGGCGCCAGGATTCCTGATTCTCTTCCTTCCTTCCTTTCCTCCCGCCCGTCTGGGTGCTGGTATAACTTGGCTGGGGCTAGAGTGGGCCACGGCAGAGTAAAGCTGCCCAGCATGGTGAAAAGGCTTTAAGCTGGGGCTTGTCCTAGGACAAGTTGCTTTGTCATGGAGGCTGGGTGGTGTCCACATCTGACTGACCCTGGAACCAATCCCAGCCTTGGGAGGCTCCTACCGCGGGCCCATCCACACCTGGGACGGAGAGTTCGGCTACAGGGAAGATCTGCAGAGTCCCCATCTCAATTGGGGTGCCTGAGGGTCCATCTGCCCAAGGCAGCCGCCCAGGGGCTGAGAGCCTGCCTGCCTTTTCCACACAGTGGGTTCCCAGAGAGGTTGGGGACGGACTGTGATGAATGAGGCCACCCGAAGTTGGCTGGGGAAGGAGGTGGGAGGGGGCAGAGCCCAGTCACCCACTAAGCAAGGTCCCTATGGGTCCAGTTGTGCCTACCCGCCCATTTGCAGGGCTGTCCGCCCACGTGAACAGGCTCATCCCAGGGCATCACGTCATCTCCTTGAACCCTTAGTTTCCCAGCAGAAACACCTTGTGTGTGGGGGGGTGGGCAGGGGGGGGGAGCCCGAAGGTGCCCCCGGCAGGGAAGAGGCATTCATTGCAGATCGCTTAGGACTTAGAAGTTAGGGAGATGGCTCAGCTCGGGGAGAACTTGGGGCCTGGCTCACCATGAGCCTACAGGGAGTGACTGAGGGAGGCCAGGCAGCCAGCCTCTGGTGTCCGGCACAGTCCCACCAGCTGTGGGGGGTCTATCACCCTGGGAGCCTGGCCGGCGTGGTGAACCTGGAAGGATGCACGCCCTTCCCCGCACAGGGCTGCCCCTCCAAGCCTCTGCGAGTGACCACCCTCTAGTGTCCCATGTCAGCTGTACGCATGGGGCAGGCATGACTGGGAAGCATCCGGAAGGCCAGTGGCGGTGCCCAGACAGGGCTTGTCCTTGGGCAGCTTCGAGAAAAGCCCATCGGGAGAGGCGGCGAGGCCAGGCACTCAGGACAGCCCGGCTCACACACGTGCACAGAGTCCGAATTTCCCAGATGTCCCTTAGCCCTGGTCAGCTAGACCCTGGGGCTGCGTTACTGCAGGGACCTGTTTGGGGGGCTCGGGAAAGGTGGGGCCAGGCGCTGGGAGTCAGCGTCCGCACTCCGATTGGCACTGACCATGCCCAAGAGGCGAAGGTCCATTGCTTCCGGCCAGCACCGGAAATGGCCTGAGACAGGCTTTGTGCCCGCGGAGCGCGAGAACACTCTTCCGGCCTGAGGCCGTCGTGGTCCTCGTGATTGCCAGTAGGTGGCGCAGGGCCCCGGAAGGCCTCGCGTAGCCGCTAGCCCTTGAGCATTCTGGGAGTCGTATCCGCCCGCCTCCCTCTCTTTTCTCCTTTGTCAATTCCAGGTTTGTTTCTCGAAGGAGCACCGGCGTCTCAGAGCGGTGGCAAGTCGACCTCAGGCAAGAGGGGGCCGGGAGTTTAGAATGAGAAACCAGCGCTAGCAAGCTCCGGACTACGAATCCCGGCAGGCCTCGGGAGCAGTGGCCCAGTGCCTTAAGGGAGTTGTAGTTCTCTGGACTCGAAAAGTCTGTGGCACTTGACCAATCAAGGACTCGGTTTCCCAGAGGGCCAAGCGTAGCGCCCCGGCAGGCGGCGCGACCAAAATGGAGGCGGCTGGGCCACAGTAAACCGGTAGGTTAGTGGTGCGGGAGGCCGTCGGGAGGCCGCATTCCGCAGCCTGCGCCCCCGAACTCCACCACTTGGAGGTCTCGATGTCCCCTGCCCTTTCGCAAGCTGGCCCTCGGGACCCGAGCCTCTCGATGCCGGGTCCGCCGCGGAAAGGGTGCTCCGTGCACGTGCAGCGGACGACAGGGCTCTGCTTTCAAGGGGGCGAGAGTAGAGCAGAGGAAAGTAGTGTCCCCGATCCCTGCCACCTGGTCGGCCCCACGCGAGCTTTCAGGAACCCCAGCGCCTCCCGGGCTAGTTCCTCATCACCGTCACCCCTAAAACCCCACCGATGGCCCACGGATCAGCCTTCAGTGGCTTTGAGAAGCTGGAGGCTGGCTAGACTCCCGGCTTCCACCTGGGTAACGGGAGCCCATTTGGCTGGGACAGCGCAGTGGGTTGAGCTCCCTACCCCCTTTCGCGGCTGAAGCCTTCTCTTCCCCGAGTGAGCCCCGTGTGTGTTTCGCCTGCCTTTGATCCCATGGAGCGCACGCAGAGCCGCCCGCCTGTTGTTCCCCAACCGCCTCGGGTACATGAGCCCCGGGCGCTCCAAGGAGGGCAGTTGGGGAGAGCAGGAGCTGACTGAGGGGGCTGTCCTCAGCCTGGGAACAAGTTCCAAGGCTCCCAGTCCCAACCGACCAAGGCCAGGCCGATCGTTACAGAAAGTGGAGCCGGGATGTCCTGAAGGAAGTTCCCAAACTAGAGTAGAGGAGACGGATGAGAGGCTGCCACCCTGGCTCCTCCTTCCAGCCTAGACTGGACAGCTGACTGGTGATGCCCCCGAGCAGACCACTCTGCCACGCTGGGTCGCAGCCATTGCTACCAGGGGCTAGGAGTGACATCAAGATTGCCGCAAGGTCGGAGGTTCAAACCCACCACATGCTCAGAAACTATCTACACGGTTACTGTGAGTCCGAACTGACTCCACAGCACTTAATGAGCACATCAACCAAGTGTCCAAGAGTGTCCACTCGGGGCCCATGAACCAGAGTGCCCCTCCCTCAGCACTGGGCATCATCGCACACCCTCACTCTTTGGTCTGATGGGTGCGTGACTTTCTCCCCAGTCCCACCTAACTACGTGGAGAGAGGCGTTTGGTATGGAGACGACCACATCATTGCTTTGAGGACCTCTTTAGGACGCCCCCTGCCTGGCTGCCCACCCAGCGTGCCAGTGTCGGCCACAGACACCAAAAAGCAAGGGAGGTAAGAGACGGGCTCTCCCAGGGTGGGTCCTGCCCTTGTGGTGGAGGCCACAGTTTTTCTGATGCCCCCTCCCGTGAAGGGAACAGTTCTGAGCGCTGACCGTGTCCTCACTGGGCTGTTTGGTGTAGGTGTGGTGTGACCCCAGGACAGATGGCGGAGGCAGGGTTGGGTAAGGTGGAACAGGACACAGAGCTGGACACCCTGCCGTCAGACACGGTCTCCCTTAGCGACTCGGACTCCGACCTCAGCTTCCCTGGCAGTGCGGAAGTAGAAGCCCTGTCCCCAGAGGAGCTGCGTGGTGAGGCTGACGCCACCGATTCAGACCCCGATGAGCCCCCCTCGCCCCAGGCACACAAGCCCCGAGCTGCTGTCCAACCTTTCCACCTGCCGGGCATGAGCCCTACCTTCTCCCAGCGCAGCCGGGACATCTTTGACTGCCTGGAGGGGGTGGCTCACACCGGCACAGGAGATGGTGAGGGCTTCAAGCGGCCCCTGGCACCTCCAGACCAAGCTCCAGGGGAGGGCCGAGCTAGGACTGGGCGAAGTACTGCCCCTCCGAGGGGCCCCTCCGTCCCGGACTATGTGAGCCACCCCGAGCGCTGGATCAAATACAGCCTAGAGAATGTGACTGAGTGCAGCGAACAAAGCAACCGGGCTGCGGCTCTGGCCTTCCTGGACTCCCGGAGTGTCCCCGCCCCCCCAGAACACGCCCCCTCCTTCAACCAGGACCCCTCCAGCCGCGGGCAGGGCAGGATCCTTTTCAGCAAACCGGCCAGGCCTGAGAGGAGCCGGGGCCTCCGGAGGCCAGGGGAGGCTGAGGACACGGTGAAGCTGGCCCACCTGGCCACAAGCCCAGAGACTGAAGAGAGTGGCCCCCGGGGGAGCCTGCAGGAGGTGGCGAAGGCTGAGGCGGACCCCGCTGGGCCAGCATCAGGCCCTGGGGCACCTGCGCAGATGGAGACTGTTGGTTTCCATGGCAGCAGGAAGCGGAGCAGGGAGCACTTCCGGAGTAAAGGCAGCAGCCCTGAGGGACCCGGAGCCGAGCCCTGACAGGCAATGCCCAGTCTAAGGGCCATGAAGGGACCACACTGCTGTTCCTGCTCCCTGGCTCAGGGGACAGACGTGGGAAGGCAGTGTGGTGGCGGGTTGGAGGTGGAGCCCGCAGCCCCTGGGTATCAAGGCCCCTGCCTGGGAGCCCTTCTGTAACTGTCATGTGGGGACAGTAAAAGTTTAGACTCTTCATCCAGGCTCCATGTGTTGTCTCTGCCCCCACGGCTCTGTGGGACCAACCACACACTCCCACACTGGGCTCGGGCCACCCCTCTAGTTGCTCCTGACCCTAGTGGGGCAGGAGGGGACAGGAGCCCTCAGTGTTCAACATCTCTGGGGAAGATGGGACCACCAGGCAGGGAGGATGCCCCTCTGGCCCACTGCTGGTCAGCCGAGTGTGGTCTATACTTCAGTTTCATCGGGACACTTTGAAGGGGGGCCAATGTGGAGACCCACCCTACCCCGCAGCTGGCCAAGTGAACCGAAGGGAAGAGATGACAACGACCAGCATGTCAAACACTCTCTTAACAGACTACAGGGGGCAGCGGGGTGTTTGAGGTGCGTCCACCCCAAAGGGCACTTTACTCAGGTATTCCGCCGCCTGCTCAGGGGGCACTCCGGAAACAGCTCAGATGTTGGAGGGCAGCGGGCCAGCCCCAGGGCCCCCTCCGTGGTCAGCAGAGGGCTGTTCGCTCCTACTGCAGCAATTCTGAGAACCTGGGGGGTGGGGTGGGGGGTGGAAGGCCTCTTCTCAGCGCTGGACATCCAGCCCTGGGAAGGTGAGGGGGCCTGTGCGGAACCCAGGGACACACATGGTGGTCCTGAGGTTGGAGAACCACGGGAGCCGGGTAGCCCGCCCAGGTCTGGTCCCAGTGGAGGGCCCGCCCAGGGGTCTCAGGCTACTGGACCTGGTTCCACCCTCTAGATGCGCACCCGCTCAAGTCCCACTTACACGTGCCGGCCAGCGTGTCAGCAACGGCAGACAGGAGCACTGTGCAGTAGCTGACCTGCAAGAGGAAGAAATGTCCAGGCGAGCCCCGCCCCCTCCCTCTGCTAAATGGATGAGGGGACAAGGACCAAAGTCAACTCCCTGAGGAAGGTCTCTGCAACCCGAACCCGAGGGTCAGCAGAGTGTGGGCACCCTGAGGCCACGCTTACCTGGGATTCTAAGCCCTTGATGCGCTTCTCCTGTTCCCGCAGTCCCCCCAGGCACGTCGCCACCGTGTCCACCCTGAAACAGAGCACATGGCCCCCGGTGGGCTTGACGCCTGCTCCCCCAATGGGCCCCTCTCAGCACCAGGGTGGCGCCAACTTCTCCTCTGCCCTTCGCCCCGACAGCGGAGGGTCGTGGAAGAGGGTCTAGCAGAGACGTAGGGCAGAGACCTCCGCCGTAGGTAGACCACGCTGTTCCCGCACAACTCATGCCTTGGGTCAGGAGGTCTTGTCCCTCTCTATGCCTCAGTTTCCCCAGAGGCCACCTCCCTGCTCGAGTAACAATGACTGAGGGTCTGGCAAAGACTAAAGACCCAGCCTGCAGGCCCCGGCGACTCTCACCGTGACCTGTGGGCGTCCCCCTGCCGGCGGGAGCCCCCTCACCTGTGAGCGGTTTTCCGCAGGACCTCCGCGGTGCTGTCCTTCCTCCGCCTCTCCAGGCTGCTCAGAAAGTTCTCCTTCTGGACCGTCTCCCACGTGACTATCTTCTGGTCTAGGGGATCCGGTAGGTCTCGCTCTGGGAAGCGGGGCAGTAGTTGGACCTCAAGGAAGATCCCAGGCCTGGCCTCAGGGATAAGAGTAGAAGTACCCCCTTCTCCCATTCAAGTGGGGTAGGCCCCAACCTAGCAGGTTACTGGGCACACAGGCCCAGCAGGCAGGGCAGGGGACAGGAACACAGCCTAGTGGGCCCCTTGGCCTGGCCGGACCAAGGCTGGGCTCGGCCCTACCCAAAAGCACCCCCATCATCTGTCCTCCCCCAGCTCCGCCCTCCCAGCTCCCAGCTCCCCCAGCTCCGCCCTCCCAGCCCCCAGCCCCCCCTGAGCTCCGCCCTCCCATCCCTCCCTCCTGGAGCTCCGCCCTCCCAAGGCCCAGACCCCGCGGGAGCTCCGCCCTCACCCAGGCGCCGCCCCTTGCGCTCCGCCCCCTTGCCGGAGGCCTTCTTGAGTAGCAGGCTCAGATGGCTGAGGATTATGAAGGGCGGGGCCAGCGAGGGGCGCTCGTGGTATTCCACAATCAAGCTGTAGCGCTGAGACTTCCAGAACATGTCGGCATTGCCCTGTACCACCTGGAACGTATAGCTGTGGGGACGTGAGCGGGGCTGGGGGCGCAGATAGCCACCCATCTCTGTGGGCAGCGGGTCTGGGGTAGGGTTCACTCCTCCTGACCCTGGGCTCCCCGTACGCCGCCTGATAGCTGCCTGGACTAGACTTCAGGCCCCGTGTACCCAGGCTGGTCGGGGCGGGGTCCCCAGGGCCACCGCAGCTGGACGGTGCAGAGGGAGGGCGACTGGGGGCCAGAGAGCAAGCACCTGAACATGGCGATGAGCAAGTTCATGAGCAGCACGTTGGTGACCAGCAGGAAGGTGACCAGCAACAGGATGACCAGCCAGTTGGCATAGAGGTTGGGGCAGGAGGGCGAGTCCCCCAGCATCAGCGGGTGGGTGGAGCAGTTCACCCGCACTTCTGAAACACAGGGTCATGGGGAAGGGTTTGGGGCCCAGTGGGCAGCTGACCAGTGGGGTTGAGATGCCGGCAGAGCCAGGCCATTGGGGGCGCTGGAGGAGGAGCTGCGTAGCCTGTCCCAGGCTCCACGGTGGGGAAGAGGGTCAAGCAGTTTTACCACTCTGGGATCAGTACTCCAAGGGCACCTTGTAGGTGTGTGTATTTGTGTGTGTCTGTGTACGTGTACACACGGATGTCTTTCTATGATTGTCCTTCTGGTCTACATGTTGAGACTGACCTCAGACCACTTTGGGATGGGGTTCTGGAGTCTCTGACCTGTGGCCTTCCTCAACGTGCCCTCTGGCCACTTCCTCCATGCATGCTGGCGTGGGTGGATGTCGGAGGCAGCTAGAGGAGTCTGGTTTCCTGAATCCTCTGTTCTGCTAAGTGATTGTGGCAGCCAACCACATATGAGTTATGAGTGTGTGTCTGGGTCTGCAAACCGCAGTCTTGCCCCCTAACTTCCCTGTCTGTATCCATTAGTCTGCCCCAGACTGAAGCTGGGCAGCCCATTCAATCCTGCACCCCAGAGAGGTGGTGGGGCCAGGGCCTGGAGGGCTGAATTTCTGAAGCCTGGTGACTCCATACGATAAGCACTGAGCTGTGGACCACGAGAGCCACGGTTCAAGTCCGCCAGCCGCTTCATGGGAGAACTATAATGCTTTCTGCTCCTTCAACATTTTAATAGCCTCAGAAACCCGATACAGGGCTGCTAAGAGTTGGAACCAACTCCATGGCACTTAACATCATCAATCAATCAATCATAAAATCCTTTTGTGGCAACAACCACCACTTTCTGTCAGTTTGTCAGTGATGATGAAATTGAAAGATTCTACCAACTTCTTCAGCCTGAAATTGATCAAACATGCAATCGAGGTGTATTGATAATGACTGGAATTGGAATTCAAAAGATGGAAACAAAAAGGAAGGAATAGTAGTTGGAAAATATGGCCTTGGTGATAGAAACAAATGCTGGAGATCGCATGACAGAATTTTACAAGACCAATGACTTCTTCATTGCAAATACCTTTTAAACAACATAAAAGATGACTATACACATGGACCTCACCAGATGGAATACACAGAAATCAAATTGACTACATCTGTAGAAAGAGACAGTGGGAAAGCTCCATATAATCAGCTAAAACAAGGCCAGGGGCGGACTGTGGAACAGACCATCAATTGCTCATATGCGAGTTCAGGCTGAAGACAATTAAAACAAATCCACGAGAGCCAAAATAAGACCCTGAACATATCCCACCTGAATTTAGAGATCCTCTAAAGATCAGATTTGATGCATTAGATACTAAAGACCAAAGACCAGAAGAATTGTGGGATGACATCAAGACCACCATACAGGAAGAAAGCAAAAACTCATTAAGAAGACAATAAAGAAGGAAAAGACCAAAATGGATGTCAGAAGAGACACTGAAACTTGCTCTCCAGTGTAGAGATGCTAAAGCAAATGGAAGAAATGAAGGAGGTACAAGAGCTGAACAGAAAATGTTGAAGGTCAGCTAAAGACGACAGTCAAATATTATAATGAAATGTACAAAGATCTGGAGTTAGAAAACCAAAAGGGAAGAACACGCTCAGCATTTCTCAAGCTGAGGGAACTGAAGAAAAAGTTCAAGCATCACCTTGCAATATTAAAGGATTCTATAAGCAAAATATTGAATGATGCAGAAGGCATCAAAAGATCGAAGGAATACACAGAGTCACTGTACCAAAAAGGAATGGTCAACGTTCAACCGATTCAAGAGGTAGAATAAAATCAAGAGCCAATAATATTGAAGGAAGAAGTCCAAGGTGCACTGAAGGCATTGGCAAAGAACAAGGCACTAGGAATTGATGGAACACAAATGGAAATCTTTCCATAAAGACTGATGTGGCACGGGAGGCACTCACTCATCTATGCCAAGAAATTTGGAAGACAACTATGTGGCCAGCTGACTAGAAGAGATCCGTATTTGTGCCCATTCCAAAGACAGATGATCCAAACAGAATGCAGAAATCATCAGACAATGTCATTGATACCATGCAAATAAAATTCTACTAAAGATCATATTAAAATGGCTACAATCATGCATTGACAGAAAAATTCCAGATGTTCAAGCCGGATTTAGAAGAGGATCTGGAACAAGGGGTATTATTGCTGACGTCAGATGGATCTTGCTTGAAAGCGGAGAATGCCAAAAAGCTATTTACCTGTGCTTTATTGACTATGCAAAGGCTTTTTTGATTGTGTAGATCATGACAATCTATGGACAACACAGCAGAGAATGAGTATTCTGGAACACTTAATTGTGCTCATGAGGAACCTGTACATAGACCAAGAGGCAGTTGTTCAAACAGAACAAGGGAACATCGAATGGTTTAAAATCAGGAAACGTGGGTGCCAGGGTTGTACTCTTTCACCATATTTATTCAATCTGTATGCTGAGCAAATAATCCGAGAAGCTGGATTATATGAAGAAGAATATGACATCAGGAGTAGAGGAAGACTCATTAATAACCTGCGATATGCAGATGACACAACCTTGCTTGCTGAAAGTGAAGAGAACTTAAAATACTTACTGATGAAGATCAAAGGTCACAACCTTCCCTATGGGTTACACCTCAATGTAAAGAAAACAAAAATCCTCACTACTGGACCAATAAATAACATGCATATAAATAGAGAAAAGATTGAAGTTATCAAAGACTTTATTTTGCTTGTATCAACCATAAATACTCATGGAAGCAGCAGTCAAGAAATCAAATGACTTACTGCTTTAGGCAAATCTGCTGCACAAGACCTCTTTAAAGTGTTGAAGAGCAAAGATGTCAGTTTGAGGACTAAGGTGCGGCTGACCCAAGCCATGGTATTTTCAATCACCTCATATGGATGCGAAAGCTGGACAGTGAATAAGGAAGATCGTAGAAGAATTGATGCCTTTGAGTTGTGGTGTTGGAGGAGAATACTGAAAGTGCCATGGACTGCAAAAAAACCAATAGATCTGTTTTGGAAGAAGTGCAGCCAGAGTGCTCCTTGGAAGCCAGGATGGCCAGACTTTGTCTCTCATACTTCAGACATATTATAACGAGTGACTAGTCGCTGGAGAAGGTCATCATGCTTGGTAACATGGAGGGTAAGAGAAAAAGAGGAAGACCCCCCCCAACGAGATGGCTTGGCACAGTGGCAGCAGCAGTGGGCTCAAGCGTGGCAACGATTGTGAGGTTGGCGCAGGACTGGGGAGTGTTTTGTTCTGTTGTGCAGAGTCACTATGAGTCAGTACTGACTAGATGGCACCCAACAACAACGCCAAGTGGTACCGAGCCCCCCTCCCTCCCTCCTTCCCTCCCTTATGATTCTGAAAGGGGCAGTGGTGGTGGAAATTCGATAGTCTCTGGGGCTGGAACCATGAAAATGACTCTCTTCATAACATCTGGGCCTGCAAGCTGGGATGAGGAAGCTGGACCTCAGTTTCCCTCTCAGGCCAGAATATGTTATGAATTCCTCTCCACCGAGCTTCAGGCTGTCCTCACTATGAGCTGGACATAGATAGGGAGCTGGACAGAGGAATTAAGCTGGGAGGGCCCTGAACGGGTGGGGAAACTGGGATCAGAGAGAAGGGGTGAATGTGAGGCTGAACAGTGAATCCCGCCCTCCCACACGACTCTGCTGACTAGGCAGTGATCTAGAAATCTTTCTGAGGCAGCTGGGTAAGGAGGTAGCATAGGAGGATCTGTGCTGAGCAAACATGGGGGTGCTACAGCAGGGAATGTGGGAGCCCACACCCCACTAGGGTGATTTCCATGAGGGTGCTGCTCCCTCCCAGCCAGCTCACACCCTGGTGCTTCCTCAGCAGAAAGGTACCCAGGGTCGTGGTGGGTGATGGGGGGACCTTGCCATAAAGAGGGATGTGGGGGAGGGGCATAGGCCAGCCAGATCCAGACTCCCGGGGACAGTCATTGTGGGGAGCCCCTGTCATGCCCCCAGACTGCTTGCCCATTCTCAGCCCAGCACAGACCCCTGCCTCAGCCCAAGCTGGGATCAGGTGTGGATCTCGCAGGGCCCACTGCCCACCCGCCTGCTCCCACGTGGCCCGCGGGCCCCGCCCCCGGCCGCACCATCAATCTCGTCCAGCGGGATCTGCCCAAAGATCTGCAAGTAGGGCCGGTAGAGCACGCGGCGGAAGATCCACTCCGGACGGCCATCGTTGGGGTGAAGCAGCGCCTGCGTGGTCACGCCGTAGGCCACGAGCCACACGCTCAGGAAGAAGAGGAAGAAAAAGACGTCCTTCATCTCAGAGCGGAAAGGCGCATTAGCAGGGAGGGGTAGGGAGGGCTGGGGGCAGGGGGCAGGGGGCAGGGGCGGCGGGCCTCACCATGCGCTCCACAATGATGATCTTGGGGCCAAGCTGCTTGTGGACAGCGAAGATGTGGATCAGCCGTAAAGCAAACACCATGAAGTCCACAGCCATCACTGTCCGGCCTGCCTCAAACACACTGGGCAGCACCCTGGCCGGGGACAAGGGCTAGGCTGCTGGGCAGCCCCAAGGACACAGGCCATGGGGCCAACTCCAGACCTGGGGATGGCCTGCCCATCCCCTACAGCTGCTCCTGTCAGGCCTGGGGACACAGACCTGCAGGTGACACCAACGATGAACAGGAAGATGGCCACCATGTCACACTTGTTCCAGTTGTCCTCCACATAGAGCGTGAACTTCTTCACCAGGTTTGTGTCCTCGTCTGTGAAGAAGCCCTAGTGGAGAGATAGCAGTCCTCTTAGAGTTACCTGGGACCATCAGGGATCAGGGATCAGCCTCTGATCAGGGACCATGGCTCAGTCTGTGACTAGGATTGAAGATTCGTTCAAGATTGAATCAGGCCTAACACTGGGATAAAGACTGAGATCAAACTGGGTGTAGTCTCAGAGCTCTCTGTGATGAGTGTCCAGGAGTGGTGTTCGCACTTAGTCTATGCTCAGGGCCAGGGCTCAGACTCTGGCTGGAGAAATAGAGTCAGTCTGCAACTGGGATCAGCGCTCAGTCTGCAACTG